ACACGGAAGCACAACATTACTGCTCAAAAGTAAATCAAAAAGTATAGTCCTTTTAACCTTTTAGTTAGTTGGTTAAATCCTTTTAACAAAGTCCTTACGCTTATCGGCTATGTTTACCAGTAAAAAAGACAAATGAAATAGCTACATAAAAAGGGGAGAGAAATGATAAGCAAAGGCACGACGAAAGAAAACAACACGAACAAAGAACACAAAAAATAAAGAATTAAAGTCGAGAAGATCGGTCTAGTCACGGAGAAATAACGTGCTCCACCTAGGAAACCGCGACGCGGCCGCTTCTTTGCAAGCGCTGTCTCACACTGGCGTTCAAAACGTTAATTCTTATCATAGATTTATTAAAATTTCAATAAACAAGATGATGTGAAAAAGGTGAAAAGCATTGCATTCCATCACTGGATATATTAAGGAGAAATAGACATTATAATAATGTAATAACAACAAAGTGTGGAATAGTAGTTATTTCTTGCCTTCAACCATTATCACGTGATAACCAAATTTGGTTTTGATAGGCGGATCGGTATAAATTGGCTTATCACAAGTACTTTTCGGTAATTCAAATGCTGCATCCTGGAAGGGCCCCACCATTGAACCACGGGTCATCCAGCCAAGATCACCCTGAACAACGATGAGCACCGAATCTCCACAATTATGAGGAATACAAAAAAAAAACAACGCAAATACCCAAATACACAGCTTTATTACTCACACCTGACCGAGCCTTATCCTCACTGTATTGAGCTGCAACTTCATGAAATTTCATACCGGATTTCAATTTTTCTATAGCTTCCAAGGCTTTGCTCTGAATTACACCAACAAACAGTAGAAAATAGCGATGAACTAGAATTTTACGAAGATATATAGAATCCTGTTCCGAACCTGTTTTTCGCATAGTATATGTCGAACCTTCACGGCAGTCCCTCCTTTGGCCTCTTTTTTTGGAGCTTCTTCCTTATCTCCACCTCCTTTTTTAGGTGGTGCTTTCTTTGGTGGCATAATATAAAAGTCCCTTCACTACCTTCCTGACATATGAATATCACCTCTTCAATACAAACTGTACCGAAACACCTCTAACTGTAAGAACAAATTTGATGGGAGCGGAGGAGCAAGAAAAAAAGGTTGGTGTATGAGAGAAAACGAACCAAGACATGCCAAGTGCATCAGAAATAAAACATTTCAGCTAAAACTTCTAAGGAAGTAAGCAACAGTTGTGGAGGCCGCAAATGCATCAAATGAATTCCCAAAAATTCAAAAGTACGCCTGTCTAAAAGATTGTGTGCAATTGCAGCCAAATGACATATTTGACGGCTAACTTTGGGCCGTAGCAACCACCGCAGGCGTGGCAGTGCGGAACAGGGTCAAGCACCGAATGGAACTACGGGAGATGGATCGGTAGGACGATATCCTGACACCTTCTCTTCCCCCTACCTACCCCCACCCAAAAACATTACCCGAGAGATTTCGGTATCTGACCAAACCAACATATCCATCTTGGTTCTGAACTGGGCAAAACTATATCGTAAAACGGTCTGGTCCCTTTATCAAACTATGGGAGCTTCGTTGCTACAGTTTTTGATAGGGGTTGCAGCAGCTTGGGAATGATATTTCGAGAACTCGACTGATTACAGGCATTGGAGAGATAGGAACGGAGATTTGGGCGTGCGCGATGGAAGCCGCAGGATGACGTTGCGCTGGACCCTCCACCGCCCTTCCGGGATTCGCCTAGCTCCCATCATACAACTATACTGATTAGACTCAGTATTCAAGCTTTACCTCATTCCTTGTAACCTTGCTCCTGGACTGTGAACAAGAAAAACAGACGAAAGGATATAATTAAAGTCTTTGTCATTCATCAAACTCACTTTTGGGTGGGTCCCTGAACAGGAATTAGATTCAGAATCATAGTGGCGTACTGCATACTTATGTAGCCTATACAATGACTTTTGTTAGTAGCCGATGCACAGATTAGTGTTTTTATCCTCCCAGACCGGTCTGGTNAGGATATAATTAAAGTCTTTGTCATTCATCAAACTCACTTTTGGGTGGGGCCCTGAACAGGAATTAGATTCAGAACCATAGTGGCGTACTGCATACTTATGTAGCCTATACAATGACTTTTGTTAGTAGCCGATGCACAGATTAGTGTTTTTATCCTCCCAGACCGGTCTGGTACCAATTAACCGGGCCCGGAGTGATGGAAGGCTCAGTTAGCCTGAATGGATAAGTTCGGTATTCGATCCTCGGACCTTGAGTCTATGATCGGAGGCCCTCGCCACTGCATCATCCTTTACAGGAAGACGCATTTCCTACCTTTCCTGAGTTTTCGTGGAACCTGCTTTTTGACATGGACCACCTCCACCACAATGAACTCGTACAGTAGAAGATTATGAGGATCGTCCGTGTGGGGAAGCGAACAATTCATTTTTTAATCGGATTTCTTGTCAGAAAGCTCCGAGGCAAGTCTGTTTTTAATGTCATGCCAATATGCAGGCAGTGATAAGACAAAAAAAAGATCTTTGGAGCCGCTGCCGATAACGACAAGTCACAAGGTGACGACGAAACTTCGACGATGCAATTCTCAGAAGCTTAATAATACAAAAACACTTCATCAAATATTGATTAGACTATGTCCCAGGAAAAAATCTTCAGTCCTTTTATTGCTCGAAAAAATCTGACACCCTCGTGATTCTGCTTTTGTTTGAACGTTTCCCAGATGCTGACATGAAGTACAAATAAAAAAATGTCGTCTGATAATACTGCAGACAGATGTAACAGTTACTAATGGGCTGATATCTAACAAGTAATAAAAGTAAGGAAGACGAAGACGTAAGACTGTCATGGTCGAAGGATCAGGAGAGACCATTCGAAGGAAAAGCTCATCGATTCCCTTCTCGTGAAGGTGGCACGCCTCCTAAGGCAAACACCGTTAGGCTACTGTAATGCAGCATTACTGCAGCTGATACCCTCAATGGAATGAGTTACGGTACATAATACTGTAACGAAACTTGCACCCATGAGTCAACACCCTCGTTTAGGCTATCTATCACGGCAGACTTTTTTTCAAGGATTGCGCCACGTCCTGGTCTTACCTGATATAATGACAAAACCTTGCAAAGCACGTTTTTCAGTGACAACTACGACACGACTAAGGAAAAGCAGATCGAAAAAAAATACAGTCGATATGATATAGAAATAGTCCAAGCATGAATTTTCAATAATTTTTCAAATTTTTCTTGCCACTTGGATAGGCAAGAAAGCTGGGGTGAGGGAGGGGTTGTTGGACGAACTGTCATCTGTGGGAGCGCGTTTCGCAGTTAGAACTATCACGGCCATAACGGTGGAGTTGATTTTTTCCTATCAAAGAGCGAGACGGGAAACTTTTCGGGGTGTGCCATGCATCTACATTCATTCAGAATCGTAATAGCGTTTTGAAAGTGTATGTGGCCCGTGCAATGACTTGCGGTAGCCATCTGATGAAAACTGGTTTTCTCCAAGACGAGCTTGATATCAAGTATCCGACCCCAAAGGGAAAGACGATTGTTTGGGCAGGGAGAGTATTGATTAGGGAATCGATTTCTCGAGGGAGGAAGTGATGGTGGTTCCATGGTTCTATCTGGTTCTATATCTACTCTAGAAAGTGCTGTGAAGCACTGTACAACACCATAAATTTTACTCGAACCGTATGCTGCTTTACAGCATAGTCTAGTGGCCCGCTTAGAAAATCTGCCGATTTGGCTCGTTCAAACGGAGCTACGGCTGCGTTTCAACCTTGACGGGCACAAAGCGTATTTGTCGTTGATGTGAAGGATGACATCTGGCGTTTTTCTTCTTATAAAAAAACAATCCAATAGATTGAATCATCGTAGAAAATACTCTGCATCAGAAATGACATAGTGATTTTTATAGTTTGTGGTTTGTGTGAATCATTTATGTCACTTCGCTTATCTATAGAAACGACACACCGAAATGGCGTTATCATGTAAGAAAGACGGTTTTCGCCATATTGCACAAGGCGCTTTCGTCTGTTGCCGCCGCTGCTCATCACCATGGGCTTTCGGAAAAATAATAAGTAAGTACATAAAAGTAACATTAGAATAATTTTTTTTTCGAATTTTTCCATATTTTCATTATCCTCTTCATCCTATGCTTCACATGCCCGAATGCATAGTTTATTTACGATTCATAATAATTTCTAGTTATATTCATGACGTTTTCAATGTTCTATGTTGGCCTCTGTTCCGAGTTTGAACTACTATTTGGCCCCATACACATTCAAAACCTTTGACCACTTTGCATAGAAATCGTATGCGCGGGCATCCACCAAGTATTGATTAATATCGATCGGTTTATCCTTAATGTTACGTTGCTTTACCAATCCTTTTACACACTTTTTCAAAAGTTCATTATCTATTATTAATTGAGCAGAGCGGAGGTGGTGTAGTGGTCGTGGCGCACCATCACGCACGCATGACCCACTGGTCGAACCCCTGATCGATATCCGCCCAGCTGGCCCATGCAAGTCATTGTATAGACCTATGTACGCATTCAAAACGTTACTACGATTCTGATTGCATTCGTGTGCGGGGCGTATTCCAAAACGAGATTGCTCGGAGCCAGAAGACTTTTTCCTTTGTGCTTTACATTCGCCTTTGCCTTCTTTCGCTAGTTCCCAATGCTTGGACTGGTGAAGTAAAAGGTAAAGTTTTCGGGAAATAATCAATCTCATCTGAGGGTTGCGCCCCGCGTTCGACTTCCATTCACAATATCGTATGTGGCCTGTACAATGAATTGCGGTAGCCAGCTGATGTACAAGTCAGTACTTCTATCCTGCCAGACGAGTCTATTACCCATTAATCGATCCAGATGGGATGGAAGGCTTGGTTGGCGTAGGCGGATATCGATACAGAATTCATACCCGTGACTATGCGTGTGGGATAGTGCGCCACGTGCCACTACACCACCTGCGCCCCTGGAAAGGTGTACAATGCATTTTTAAAAATCTTCATAACCTGCGATTTTTACTTCCGAGAAAGGTTTCAAAAAATGCCTGCGATACAAGCCCGAGCACCGGGCTTTTCGGATTATGTCGGCAGAATCCCAGCAACAACCTGTAAATGCTTAGAACAGAAAGCCAGGTGTCAACGTTAATCCACTTGGGAGCAAGTGAAGCATACTCGTAAAGTAGCTCCGACGGCGAAAGAAGACCCCTTTTCTATCGAAACCAAATTTCATTTCTCGCGCAGGTATCACTCCTGACGGCAGTTACCGATTTTTTTTTGAGAGACCACTGAAGTAGTATGCAGTAAGAAGTTGAAATCACTGTATTGATTTTTTCGGAATACGCCATGCTCTCGACCTCCCACTCGCATGCTCAGTGCCATTGACTCGAATGTAAGCCTACACGCTAATCTTCTCAAATCTCTCTTGATCTTCATGCTAAAATAGGATACTTACATCTGCCTCACAAACCACAAATCCGAGACTTCAATCATTCCAAGCGAGCCTTCTAAAGCAATGATGCGAGTTAATCACAAGGCATCCGCAAAAGGTTTCAGCAGAAATAAATTAATAGTGAAGAAAAATAGATTTTCCTTCCCACAAATCAAATTCAATCCAAGTTCTTATTTCATATCTTTGTGTGCCAATTCCAACCGTTTTTATTCATTTAAGAATTTCACGTGTATTAAGGAAAGACGAAAAGGCAGTCGTCAAGGAGGAGCCGGCAAAGAAGGTGCCACTGTTACAGTTGGTGAAAGACGAAAAAGCAGTCGTCAAGGAGGAGCCGGCAAAGAAGGTGCCACTGTTACAGTTGGTGAGTAAGAGAGCCATAGTACAGTTAAGACTACAACGGTTAAAAAACACGATCTTCGAGTCTTCTTAAGAGCTCTACTTTCACTGTATTCCTTAAGTAGTTAAAGGACTTCATCTACCAGATTGGGTTTCAGTTGATGAGGTCACTACCCTAAGTTTAGGCCCTTTTATCAAGTGAACTTGTAAGTAAAGCATGGCCATGAAATGCTCACAGCAGTTAGCACTGTACCATGGCTTATTATCTTCTTTTCAGTGGCGTTATGCAACATGGAGTGAATTGGCATTATTGTTTGTTGGGATCTTTGTTTCACTTGTAACTGGAGCTGGTTTACCGTTGATGTCCATCATACAAGGACAAGTCACTCAAGCTTTCGTCAAAGAGGAAATGTACAAGACACACACGCTTCCAGGTAGTTCCAATATTGAATTATTCAAGCACTATCAACTTCATCCCATAGGTTAATTTTTTGCCCATGATGTGAGAAGGATGCTACTTATCACTTCAGCTGAAATGGAGGCGGGTTGCTGTCAATGGCTGACTGCCAAACTCATGGCTTATGTATCAAATCCCAGGAAATACCTTTCGACATCAATCAATACTTTCATCCCTCAGTCGGCCAGGTGGTACCAAACTCGTCTGCAAGGATAAGAGCATCGACTTGGGCAATGTCGGGGAAGTGCAAGTCGTTCCACATACATCTTCAAAAAGTTAAATGGAGTAGAATGCGGGGCTTACCCCAGCGACGGGAGCGCCAAACAATTTTACTCAGTCAACCACTTGCCATACCTATGAGGTTCAGTAGACCGCCCGTGACTAGCATTTTGTTAGGGCAAAGCGCAGTCCCTATAGCTTTAAAGAACGCTCAAATACATGGCTCACTGCAAACAACTTGATGGCGTTACTTTCATCGTGAAAGGGTCTTGGTCATCTACAATTAGGGTGCTGTGGACGAGTTGAGCAGTTGGGCAAATCATAGGTATCAAGTGTTCGAATCAGACGAATATAATGGCACAGTTCACGATAAAAATAGTGTTTGAGATTCCCCCGAAGATGTATTTGAAGCCCCCACGTATATCCATATCTGGCACTATTGGATCGGGAAACGGCCTAGTTAGGGAGTTATAATGGCTCAAAGATTGGCTCGTGTGTATCCTCGGACGAGTTTCACAGGCATTGTAGAGGCTGCACCGACCATNTGATGTAATCAGCTCTTTGTGCAATTGCAACAACTGAAATCTCGTCCGAACACCCCTTCCATGTTATTTCCGTCATGGCAATCTCGTCCAACCTTTATTTTCTCTACTTTTGGGGAGCCTTTTTTTTCTTAAAATCGGCGAATTTTCTCGCTTCCTTCACCATCAATAAACTATTCCCAACCGATACTTCCGCTTTCCGGCTGGAAAGAGGTACCTTAAAATTATCGTGAGCTGTGCCTTCAAGTGAATCAGTGGCTCACGGTTCAACTTTCACCCCTTGGGTTAGCGGTTTCTAAATTTGTCGCCATCCATAGGTCTTAGAACCTCCAATATCCGGTTGTAGCAAAGTCTGTAACAAAATTAATACTTTGCTTTATTTTACTACATCACATTGAAGTTGGTGCTGTAGGACAACGGAAAATTCCCAGACTCCTATAAAGGGAGCTTGCAGGGATGCGCCACTCTGTCTAAATACAGCCCCATTTTTTCAGGACCAATGCATTACAATGATACGGACTTCACAAACGATGTCATGAATGCCGTCTACGGTTATACTGGGATGGCCGTTGGAATGTTTATTGCTGCAAATGTGCAGGTGATTACTGAATTGTTGATTGAAAACAGTGGAGAAAATCGTTAGAATGGCTCAAACAGCTCATCCAAGGCATCATTAACACGCTTCGTAGTGCTCAGTAAAAAATAAAGAAAAAGAAATTATGGGAAAAATTAGAAAAAACAATTAAGATTATCATTTCTTATCGACGATTGAATGTTGATTTAATGCCATATTCATTCCTCATTCAAATAACTAGCTGAATGATTAGTGCTCATTTGAAATAATTATTTTCAACCCAGATTGAGTTACGGTATCACATCAAAGGGGCGAAAGTGGGGAGGGGCCAACCGATGCACTGTCACTGGACTATGGTCCAGAGATTGAGCTGTGGATCGATACCCGCCCAAGTTACGATATCCTCCATCTCTACCGGGTAAAACATATAGGAAAAATCGTCTTGGATAAAAAAGTTGCGTTCTGGCTGGTCACCGCAACTAATTGTACAGGCTACATGCGCATTAAACGACTACAATTTTGAATGAATGTCGAATGCATGGCGCACCTCACAGCACACACGTATGAGTACCAGAAGACTCTTTTATTTTATCGTACAAAGTGATAAAGCAATTCAGGTGACGTGTTTTTTGATTGTTTGCGAGCAGATGAGCAATCGAATTCGACGGAAATTTGTGAAAGCCATTTTACATCAAGATATTTCGTGGTTCGACAAAAATAACAGTGGAACACTGGCCACTAAACTATTCGAGTGAGTTGTTTTGATAGAAAATTTCAAACAAGTGGCTGGTTCAGAAACTTATCGCAATCCTTGAGTTCCTTTCAAAAGAGACGTTTTTTTTTTGAAAGATTCCTCTCGCCAGAGGTGTATATCAGTTTGGTAAGGTCTCAACGAGCATTCAATTCCCTTTCCAACAATTAATGGCAAAAAAGACCATCTGAATTTATCAAAGGAAGTTATTCGTTATCGCTATGAATGTTTTCAATTACAGCAATATTGAACGCGTCAAGGAAGGGACTGGTGACAAAATCGGGCTCATCTTTCAGTACACTAGTCAATTTGTAACAGGTAAATTTGAATTTCAAATTTCTCCCTCTGATGACTCTGGAGCCGTTAAAAATTGAAAATTTCGCAAAAAATACAGTGTAAGCATTGCACAGGGCGGTGGTGGTGTAGTGGCGTACTACCACGCACGCATGGTCACGGGTTCAAATCCAGGATCGATATCCGCCTAGACCAACCAAGCCTTTCACCCTCTTGGGTCGGTTACTTGGAACTTGGAAGAGGATAAAAGCACTGATTTGTACATCAGCTGGTCAATGCAAATCATTGTATAGGCCACGTATGAATTCAGTACACCACTACGATTGTGAGTACAAGTCGAATGCGGGGGGCATCCCTCAGACGGGATTGATCAGCGCTCAAAGACTTTATCCTTTAAGGACACAAATTCTGACTCATGTCCTCGTATTGCCACTATTTTCTACTGCAGCTCTTGATGTTGTGATGGGCTTCTTCCTAGGCCACCCCGTCAACCTCACCTGACCTAACCTAGGCTTAAGTTCGAACCCCTCTGTTGCATCTGTTCCATGACGGACGACATTGCTACGATGGGATCAGAGTCGTAGCCTTCATGGAAGCAGACACTGTTCCTCACTTTCAGTAAGTCACCTATCCCCCTTTTCAGGAGCCACCCATACTATCCAATTTATTGCCCGTTTCATGCAATTCTGAGTAAATTCATGTGAAAATACACTCCACCCTGGGAGCGTCAATTGTAGGCGACTGGACATCTTCTTTCCCTTTTATGCTATCGAAAAATTGTTAAGTAATAAGAATAAATGAGCAATTTGTGGATCATTGATGCTATTGTTGGCTTATTATCGGCTTAATGGAGAGATTTTAAGGTTTTGTCATCGCATTTACACATAGCTGGAAGTTAACATTAGTCATGTTGGCGGTGACGCCTCTTCAGGCATTCTGTGGATTCGCAATTTCTAAGGCGAGTGTTCTATCCATTTGTTTCTTTATTTATTTACATGCTCATGTAATTGATGAAAAAGTAGGAGTAAAAATTATCGGAAATAATTGTGTCCAACTGACCTGGGTTTTAATCTTCTTTGACTGAGGATTTCTTGACTAAAGGGAAATTTCAGGGAACCATTTTCTTGTGTGCATGCTTGCTCGGCCCTAAACATCATCCCGTTCCATTCCAACTTTTCAAAACTTATATTTTCAGTCAATGTCGACCTTCACCATAGCTGAGGCTATTAAATATGCCAAAGCTGGAAGAATGGTCGAACAAACTGTGTCATCAATTCGTACAGTGTGCTCTCTCAATGGTCTTCGCTACGAAATTGAAAGGTATGGAGGGAGGGGAGTCAGTGTTAATGTTAACTCTGGTTATGTTTTATTACATATAGGGCCTTTGCGATATTTGAACTAACTCAAATTCGTTATGCTCCATCGGGAGCCTCTTTCCGAATCCACTTCGCTTCGAGGGGTGTGCTATAGGATGCTTATTCATTTTGAGCGTAGATCATTTCTCATATTTGCAACATCGAAACTATTATAATTCCCTTAAGAGCCACTATATCAAAGCCGTTACCCTTTTTCATGTCTTATGAACCAGTAATGAATGTATGATTACCTCAAATGCTTCGATGAAGTCACGGCTTCTACCAAGCTTCCCAACTTCTTCTCTGGGAAGCCCCCTCTTCCCCATCCCCGCGGAATCTCCGCCCACCCTTCTCTTCTTGTGGTTCTTTGAGAGCTACAACTGCCTAAGACACTTCAGCTATTTAAAAGCGACCTACTATGAATTTGCACTCCTGCTGGACCTGTGTATACTCCCTTTACAGGTACAAGGTAGCTCTACTCGAAGCACGTCGTGCTGGCATTCTGAAGAGTTTGTTCGTTGGCCTATCCTTTGCATTGATGGGTCTGACCAATTTCTCCTCATTCGCTTTGGCATTCTACATTGGAATCACATGGACGGTTGATGGACAATTGGAGTTGAAGGATCTAATGACAGTAAGAGGCTTTTCATCGTAGTTAAGTAGAAAACTGCTTCTGCCTTACTTGGGTCAGCCAACCGTTGATTGTTCCTGCCAAACGAGTATTTCAGACATTCTTCTCTGTAATGATGGGCTCGTTGGCCCTGGGTCAAGCTGGACCACAGTTTGCCGTCCTTGGAGCTGCCCAAGGAGCTGCTGCCAGTATCTATGAAGTCTTAGACAGGGTGAGCCGGATTTCTTGGATTTAATTCGAGAGTGTCAGAAGAGGGTTTACACAAACAATGTTCAGGAACCTGAAATCGATTCTACTAGCCCAGAAGGTCGACGAGACGTTGATATCAAAGGGAATATTGTGGTGAAGAATGTTGTCTTCAATTATCCCTCCAGACCCGATGTACCAGTAAGTCACCTTCTTTGTTAATGGACAACTTTCTAACAGATGTCTATTGCCTTCAGTTTCTGAGCCACTGAGGGAACCGCTACTGCTGAAAAGTGTACTGTAGGACCTTTTTCCAGGTCCTGAAAAACCTTTCACTGACCGTGAACGCTGGTGAAACGGTAGCTCTAGTAGGATCGAGCGGTTGTGGTAAAAGTACCATAGTCAGTCTACTACTCCGTTACTACAACGTACTTGAAGGAGAGGTAGAGTACAAATCGAATCGAATTCTAACAGATCGCCTATATTCAACCACAATGTTGACGAAATGCGTATTGATTGGTCAGTTAAGATCATAATCGATGGTGTTCCGATTTCCGACATCAACATCCAATATTTACGTAATCGAATTGCTGTTGTTTCACAAGAACCTATTCTGTTCAATTGTACCATCGAGGAAAATATTCGGGTGGGTCGTTAAAATTGAAGCTATCAACTAAGCAATCGATGGATTTCGATTTCCGATTTCAAGGCTTAGAAAAGCGCTATTACGGTGATATTTTGTTCCAACGAGGGCAATGGACAACTTTTCTCGTAGAACTTCCAAAAGTACCTTACAGATGGGCCGTTCGGATCTCACCTACCAGCAAGTTGTAGATGCTTGTCGAATGGCAAACGCCGAAACATTCATAAATGGCCTACCTCAGGTACCTTAATTTTGCCTTTTAAAAGAGCCACGAAAAACAATAATAATATTAATAACAATAATAATAGTAACAACAGCAAATCGTCTAATGATAAACAACGAAACAAATAAAAATAATAAACAATAAATATGGTAAAAAACAAAAACAACGGGTTAGCTATGATATAACGAACAAATAATTAAGTGCTATTATTAGTATTAATAATAATAATAATAGTAACCATAATAATAACAAGAACAATAACAACAATAATATAAATAATAAAAATAATAGGAATAATAAAAATAATAGTAGTAATAACAAAAATAAAAATAATAACAATTATTCTAATACTAATAGTAGTAATGGTAATAATAATTGCGATCATAATAATAATAGTAAGAACAAACGGTAATAGTCAATAAATACATAAACACAAAACATCAAGAGAAATATTGAGAATAACAACGAATTATCGACAGAAAGTACCATAAAATCAATAGGGACGTTATTGAAACTAATAATAATTGTAAAATCAATGCTGAAAAGTATTGGTATTTACAATTTATGAATAATAAATAATAATAATAAATGAAATAAGTGTATATAACAAAATCAACAGTGAACAATTTAGTACCCGAAAATTCCATAGATAAGAGCGGTTGAAACTACCAGTGAAAAATGAATTGGAATGAAATTGAAATTGAATGCAGTCACCCTCTAACTTGATGGATGGATAAATTAAACTTCGAAGAAGAAGTTAAGAAGAAGCTCCGCCCCTCAACTTCAAACCCCGCCCACTTAATAAACAA